CTGGGTCCCTCCCTCAGCTCTGCCGCTGCTGGTGGCCTATACGGAGCTGATAAGTCAACAAGCATTTTTTTCCCCCTCTTACTGCTGGTGTTGCAGTTTCATAGTTGAAGCTTACTACTCATGACTGTATAATTTGTTAAATGTTGCTAATTGATTTGTCCTATTTTACCAGTCATCTATTTTTATGCGTTTATGCACTGGGGTTGTATATCCTACTCTTTTGAACAAGACTAACATAGAGGTATTACTAAATAATTGTGTCTCTTACATTATTATCCTATACTTTTGAAATATGTCTGAATCCAGAGTGTCAGAGGTGTCGGGAGGCTTGCTAGGTCAGGGCAACCACAAGCATTATGAAGCAGCTCCCTGTGGGGGTAGTGCTGGAGACAAGCATTATCAAGCAGCCCCCTATGGGGGCTGAATCCAGAGTGGCAGAGGTGTCAGAGGTGTCCGGAGGCTTGCAAGGTCAGGGCAACCACTGGAGACAAGCATTATTAAGCAGCCCCCTGTGGGAGTAGTGCTACAAGTACACTATATTGGCAAAAATATTGGGACGCCTGCCTTTACATACATGTGAACTTTAATGACATCCCAGTCTTAGTCCGTAGGGTTCAATATTGAGTTGGCCCACCCTTTGTAACATTAAGAGCTTCAACTCTTCTGGGAAGGCTGTCCACAAGTTTTGGAGTGTGTCTTTAGGAATGTTTGACCATTACTCCAGAATCACATTTGTGAGATCAGGCACTGATGTCGGACGAGAAGGCCTGGCCCATAGTCTCCACTCTTATTCATCACAAAGGTGTTTTATCGGTTAACCGTAAGGACTGTGCAGGTCAATCAACTTCCTCCACCCCAAACTCGCTCATCCATGTCTTTATGGACCTTGCTTTATGCACTGGTGTGCAGTCATGTTGGAACAGGAAGGGGCCATCCCCAAACTGTTTCCACAAAATTAGGAGCATGAAATTGTCCAAAATGTCTTGTTATGCTGACACCTTAAGAGTTCCCTTTATTGGAGCTAAGGGGCCAAGCCCAACCCCTGAAAAACTACCCCACACCATAATCCCCCCTCCACCAAACTTTACATTTGGCACAATGCAGTCAGGCAAGTACTATTCTCCTGGCAACCGCCAAAACCAGATACATCCATTGGATTGCCAGATAGAGAAGCATCATTTGTCACTCCAGAGAACACGTCTCCACTGCTCTACAGTCCCGTGGTGGTGTGCTTTACACCACTCCATCCAACGCTTTGCATTGCACTTGGTGATGTAAGGCTTGGGTGCAGCTGCTCGACCATAGAAACTCATTCCATTAAGCTCTCTACGCACTGTTGTTGTGCTAATCTGAAGACCACATGAAGTTTGGAGGTCTTTAGCTATTGAGTCTGCAGACAGTTGGTGACTTCTGTTCGCTTCAGCATGTGCTGACCCTGCTCTGTCATTTTACGTAGCCTACCACTTCGTGGGTGAGTTGCTGTTGTTCCCAGTTGCTTCCACTTTGTTATAGTACCACTAAAGCTGTTTTCCGTTTATTTTCATTTGTTTCATTTTTTTTATTATATTTAAGCACAGTTATTTGTTTTTTAATTTTTTATAATACCACTAACAGTTGACTTTGGAATATTTAGTAACAAGGAAATTTCATGGATGGACTTATTGCACAGGTGGCAATTTATTACGGTACCACGCTTAAATTCACTGGGCTCCTGAGAGCAACCCATTCTTTCACAAATGTTTGTAGAAGCAGTCTGCATGCCTAGGTGCTTGATTTTGTACACCTGTGGCCATGAAGGTGATTGGAACACCTGAATCCAATGCTTTGAAGGGGTGTCCCAATACTTTTGTCAATATAGTGTATATATAGCCATGGTTGGAAAGTTTGGAGTTTAAAGCCCTGTACACACGGCCCAAATATCGACCGAAATCAGCCATTACAGTAGAAGCCAGCCGACTTTCAGGCCATGTGTTCAGCTGCTTGTCCCACAGAAGCCAATGCTGGAAAACCAGCAGTCGACTGGCATCCAATCAGCACTGCCTGGTGTGTTCTGATAGGGGTGGGTCAGGGTGGTAGCGGTTCCCCTGTCAGAATACAATAGCACAGTGGGGAGATCGCTGTACTAACCTTTCATAGCTAGCACCCTGACCTCCTCAGTTTTTTTTTTGTCCATTAAAAAACGTGCCATGTGTACTAGGCTTAAGTAATACTCCTTATTGGCTAACCTGATTTATTAAAACCGAAGTGCAGCCAAAAAATAAGCAGAAACATCAGCATAAGGAACACTGTTTTTGTGTTTATTTTTTATTTTTTTATTTTATTTTTTTATCTTTGGTTTTTTGGGATACTTACTTCACATCCCCCAGGAGGCTGCAGGGTCGGGCACACAGAGTGGCCAGGGAGCAGGTTGGAGGGCAGGCCCAGCACATCATTGTTAGCTGGCCACCTGCACCAAGAAGAGGCAGCCATCTGAAGAGAACCAAGATGGTGGTGGACAGCAGGACAAAGCTGGATTTGCTATGTGGGTGAGTATGTGTTTTAAAGAGAATGCAGCACTACAGGTAAGAGGAAAAAAAACAAAAACAACACGGGGGGTTGAGTACCGCTTTTAACATTAATCGCATCCATTATATTTAGTAAAAACCTTTCTTTTTAATTTACTCAGAAAATATTTATTGGAAGCGTAATTTTTTAAAAAGTCAGATCATTGCAAAATGTCAACAAATCCTGAGAAGAATCTATATTTCTCATTTCGCCATGGAAGACGCTCTTTGTGGGTTTAATTATGGCTATTAATTAAAGTAATTTGTGCGGTACCTGATGTGACTTCAATGTGACTGCAAAACACACGTACCACTTAGTCATAATATTGTATCTCACTGTTTTAATACTTCATTAATTTGTTAATATTTAGACTGCCACTTCATTCATTGCGGCCTATACACCAGGGAAATTCCAGTCTTCTGCTTTGGGTGGAATTCTGGCAGCAGAAACCATTACTGCTGTCTCATTAGCATTTTACACAAAGGAGGAAGGACACAGATCTGCGTTGTGAGCTGCGGAGAAAATATTTAACTTTGAAAGAAAAATATTCAAATTCTCTCTTAAAATAATTTAAAAAATTACTCTTGAAAAATTGCAAGGTTCCTATGTCATCACAATGTTGTCTGCCTTTTTTTCAGTGTCTTTTCCTCATTTCACAGCATGAAGCAACTACAGTGGCATGTGTATTGCAGTCACAGGGTGCCATCTTGAGAAAAATAAAAGCTTTGTTGCGTTGCCCTATGACACAGACGTCTGACACGTTTCAGGTGGTATAATAACTGCAAAAACCCACCACTGTGCTGCCGCACGTAACAGTGCAGAAACATGACTTGGCTTATTAAATGAAGCAAAGAGTGATAATCATATGAAAACTGTGATGATCCATAGTAAACAGGCAACATTACTTCCATTGCAGTCACACTAGCAAAGAGCAACCTCTGAGTAGTTACTGCGAGTTACTACATTATTCCCAAAGTGTATGTGATCCCAGAAGTGTCCCAGCATTCAGGATGGAATATGTTCATCTAATATTCATTCTCATGTTGTCATCCTATCACAGGAAGGCTGCAGAGAGGGGATAAACTGCTAGGACCACTGGGTATTTATATAGTCTTTTAAAACTGTAATCCCCAAACTTTTACTAGTATACATGTGTGTAGCGCACCCCCTAGAGAGCCTCTGGTGAACTTAGCCTCATTCCCCAGTTAGAGCACATAGCATTTTCTTCACTCTTCCACTGGCTCAAAAGAACAGTCTAGGAGTGTCTTTTTAGGGTTTTATTGGAACATAGAACTTGGATGGGGTGAGGGAGCATGGGATACCCCAGAACTGAACACTCGGAGGATTCCTTAACCACTTGGTAACCCGCGCTACAGCTGAACGATGGCTACAGCGCAGTTACCTAGTTCTGGGAGGGCGTCATATGATGTCTTTGAAGAACGTGCCCTCCCGTGTGCCCCCGGAGTTCTCCATGATTGCTGTGTCATGTGATGACGTAAAAGGCCAATCACAGTGGCCTTTTACCACGTGATCAGCTGTGTCCAATGACACAGCAGTTCACGAAGTAAATACAGTTGCTGGTTATCGGCAGCACTTTCCTCATGCTGTCACAGCCTAAGGAAATTACTACCAATAAATGGCAGCTGTCACAGAGCGGATCGGCACTGAACATCAGGGCACTGATAAGCAGTGCCGTGCAGTGCCACCTACCAGTGCCCAGCAGTGCCTCCCACCAGTGCCCAGTAGTGGCACCCATCAGTGCCCCCCAGCACTGCCACCTATCAGAACTGCCCAGAAGCTGCGTCCATCAGTGCTCAGCAGTGCAGCCTATCAGTGCCCAACAGTGCCGCCAGTCAGTGTCGCCCATCAGTGCCGCCTATCAGGGACCATCATTGCTGCCCACCAGTACCGCCTCATAAGTGCAAACTCATCAGTGCAGCCTATCAGTGCTGCCTATCCATGCCACCTCATCAGTGCCCATCAGTGTTGCCTATCACTGCAGCCTCATCAACACACATCAGTGAAGGAGAAAAATTACCTGTTTGCTAAATTTTATAATAGAAACAAAGAAAAACTTTTTTTTTTCATTTTTTTTAGTACAAAAAATAAAACATTCAGTGGCGAAACCAAAAGAGCTTTATTTGTGTGAAAAAAATTGATAAAAATATCATATGGGTACAATGTTGCATGACCGCGCAATTGTCATTCAAAGTGCGACAGTGCTGAAAGCTGAAAATTGGCCTGGGTACAAAAGGGGTATAAGTGCCCAGTAGGCAAGTGGTTAAAGTGTTACTAAACCCACAACAGTCTGTATATGCAGTAAACCATGCTTGTTATGCTCCTTGTAGAACCTAAGGGATTAATCCTCTGTATTGTTTAAAAACATTTTTGATCCTGACTTCTCTGATCCTCCCCTTCTTCTACTGTCCCCCTCATATCTCCTGATAAGACATATCAAGCCCAGTTTTGGTGTGTGTTACTAGAGAGGCTTTTTTTCTTGGGAGCGTGCATGAGATCAGCAGAGAGCCGATCAGCAGTGTCCAGACAGAGGTCAGGGGTTCTGCATCCTCCTAGAGCAAAATGAAAACTCCTTCAAGCTTTATCATGTGCTCTGATAGAAGTCCCAAGACTGCTCTAACTGCTGATGAGAAAAGGTATTTAGCAGTTTATATTTACTACAATAATTGCACTTCCATGTTGTGTGTACTGTGGGAGACCAGATATAGTGGATGCAGGGTCCTGGGTTTAGTAACACTTTAACTATTTTGCTGCAGTGTACAAAAATGTCCCACAGAATCTCTAACACTGATGATGACTATGAATTCTCCCAGAGACCAAAAGCTACACACAGTCACTGACTCTTCAGCATATGGACCATGTACTTACACAGCCACAGGACCATTGGTTGCTTCCTCCCAATGTCCACCAGGCTGTTCACGGTGAGGGAGATGCAGGCTCACACCACCATAGGACAGTTGGACTTTCCCCCAACCTCCTCTTGGCTCTCTCCTGTGAACGCTCTCTTGACCCAAATTGATTTCAAGGACTAAACTTGCAAATAAGCTGCTTCTAAACTCTAGTAAAAGCCTATGTATGCATTGACACGAGATCATTTACTAAAACTGGAGAGTGCAAAATCTGGTGCAGCTCTGCATAGAAACCAATAAGCTTCCAGGCTTTTTTTGTCAAAGCTTAAAGGAGAAGTATGGCCAAAGCTCTTTTGGCTGTAATTCTGTGGACCTGCCGTTCCAGGCTGGGGAAAGATCCCGACTTTAAAGTCGGGATTCACCCCGAGTCTGGAGCATCACCTGGCTCAGCCTATCAGTGAAGCGCTGAGAGCTTGAGCCAACTATCCCCTCTCCCTCCACAACCCAGCGCTCCAGTGAGCATGGGGTGGGGGGGGGGGGCGAGCAGACAGGGGTGACTGACAGTGAGAACTCAGTGATCACGTGATCGCTGAGTTCTCACACTTGCAGCCGGTAGGGGACAGATGGTTGCAGCATCTGACTGATGCTGCATTCACCTAGGTAAGTAGGATTTGGGAAGAAATTGAAACTCACACTTCTCTCGTAATTGACCAAGCTGAAGTTAGAAGCTGATTAGCTGCCATGCACAGCTGTATCAGAATTTGCGCTCTCCAATTTAGTAAATCAACCCCATAGGCTTTTATCGAGTTGAGTCCAGAGGCTTTGGCAAAAAACCCCCCAAAAGCTCCCAAACGTGAGTATTACTCAGTGCACATGAAGTCTAAGTGCCCGGTTTATACCATAGAAACGCAGCCTGGATGCGGTTCTGCATGCATGTTTATGATACATTCCAGTGCATTTTGATGCTTTCCAGATGCTTTTTTAATTTCCTCCTTTTTTGGGGTCATTTGGGATCCAGGACACTTTTGATGCATTTCAGTGCGTTCCGGTGCCTTATAGATGCATTTTACTACGTTTTAGTACAGTTCTGTGCAGGAAAAATGCAGCATGTTCTACTTTTTTTTTTTTTCTAAAACTGTAACGCACTGAACTGCAAGCACTGGTGTAAACCATGCCATTGACCATGTCACTTACTTTCTGTGTGTTTTGGGAGAGAAAAAGGCACTGGACTGCATGTAGTGTGAACCAACCCGTATGTTTACACTCCTCGGGCACAATGCTTTGCCAGGACGCAGTCTGTTGTTTCCTCCTCCACCTTCATTGGATCCTGGATCATCTTCCTGCTGATAGGACACAGGTGATAGTGCTGATTTCTTGTTCATTGGGTGACACTTGCAGCTTCATGGATGAACCAGAAGAAAAGTGTCCCCAGCCCATCCATACAGTATGACAAAAGTTTGTATATCGCAAGATTTAATAAACAGAACTTCAGATTATTTGATAGGTGAAATATTAATATACAGGATTTATATAGCGCCAACAGTTTGCTCAGCGCTTTACAATATAATGGGGAGACAATACAGCAACAATACAGTTCAATACAAGAGGGATAGGAGGGCCCTGCTCCTTGGAGCTTGCAATCTAAGAGGGAGGGGCTAGTGGTACAAAAGGTAGTAACTGTGGGGGATGGACTGGTAGGAGGAATAGAAGATTCCATTATTAGCTGAGGGCAGGATAGGCTTCCCTGAAGAGATAGGTTTTCAGAGATCGCCTAAAAGTGAGTAGAGTCTGATAAATTGGGGTAGAGAGTTCCAGAGGATGGGGAAGCTCTGGAGAAGTTCTGGAGACGAGCATGGGAGGAGGAGACAAGGGAGCTAGAGAATAGGAGGTTGTGTGAGGAGCGGAGAGTACGGTTTGGGTGATATTTGGAGACAAGATTGGTGATGTAATTTGGGGCAGAGTTATAAATGGCTTTATATGTGATTGTTAATGTTTTAAACTTTATTTGTTGGGCAATAGGAAGCCAGTATATTTCAAATGTATGTATTTAATTGCATATTTTGCTCTTTGCTTGAAGTTCTGCTTTAACTTAATAAGTTGGAAGGCCTCATTTCCTAAAGGGTATATGCTAATGCTGGCTTTGTGTTTGTTCTAGTTCAGCTGAAACAAGAGCCAATCATTTGAAAACCTGGATAATCTAGCCCCCTTTTTTTAAAGGTGGGCTTAAAGCAGCCATATTGTCAGTGTGTGTTGATAGGGAGAGCCTAGCGTTCTGTGTAGGGGAGATACTGTTTTTAGCATTTTTGTTTTATTATTTATTTTTTTTGGGCAACAGTCCAACATGGCAGTGCTTGGATTCCTATACTGTTTGACAATAGCTTGCATGTTATCCCTACAAATGGGCAAAACTAAATTGAACAAGATCCCCCCCCCCCATAGACTTCATTAGGGTTCACTTCAAAGTTTGTAAGCTTCAAAATTTGGGCAAAATTTGTGAAACTCTTCATCTCCTAGATTGGAAGCTCGAAAGAGCAGGGCCCTTGAACCCCTCGTGTATTGTTTTGTTACTGTATTGTCTCATGTTCTGCCCCCCAATATAATGTACAGCGCTGAGCAAACCTTTCTGGCACTATATAAATAATGTATAATAATAATAAACTAAACCTAATCAGATTTGCACATCCCTATTCAACGACACTGCAAACTAGGACTGCACTGTATGCAATGAACATCAGTGTAGGCAGTGTTCAATGTCCTTTCAAGATGCCAACCGGATAGGCTCAAGGATTGCATTTAACCACATGCTGCCCAGCCACTGTAGAAATACGGCGGCAGGGCGGCACGGCTGGGCAAAAGCACGTTTTAAAACACCGATCACAGCCGCGGATTTCAGTCGCCGGGTCACAGCCGGTCCCGCCGATCACAGCCGCGGATTTCAGTCGCCGGGTCACAGCCGGTCGTTACCGGCTATGTCCCGGCGATCAGCAGCAATCGCTGACAGAGAGCACAGCTGCAGTAGCTGTACTTTCTGTCAGTTCCCTGACAGCTCCAGGACATGCTGATCGGGACAGAAGAGTTTCTCTCTCCCGATCAGCGGTGTTCCCTGCAGTACACCCCCCCGCCCCCTAGTAAAACACTCCCCTCACACAGTTAACCCTTTCCCTGAATAATAAACTTAACCCCATCCTCCCCAGTGCCATTAGTACAGTGTCAGTGTTTTTTTTTTTTTGCACTGATCACTGTATTGGTGTCACTGGGGGTGTCAGTGACCCGAAGGCAGTACCCCCAATGTCAAAATGTCTGCTGCAGTCCCGCCATAAGTCGCTGATCGCCGCCATAAGTCGCTGATCGCCGCCATTATTAGTATAAAAAAAACTAAAAATCCCAGTATCTTTCCCGCCATTTGTAAACGCTATAACTTTCATGTAAACCAATTAATTTACATGTATTGGGTTTTTTTTTTTTTTAGCAAAGACATATCACAGAATGCATTTTGGCAGAAATTTGACTAAATTTGATTTTTAAATTTTTTTTTTACTGGACATGTTTTATAGCAAAAAGTCCAAAATATTGTTTTTTTTTCCTCAAAATTGTCAGCCTTTTTTTTTATAGCGCAAAAAATAAAAACCGTACAGGCGATCAAATACCACCGAAAGCTCAATTTGTGGGAAAAAAAAAGGATGAAAATTTCATTTATGTACCATATTGCATGACCGCGCATTTGTCCGTTAAACTAGCCCAGTGCTGTATAGCAAAAAAATGGCGTAAATTGCAGTATATCTATACCATAGTTTGTAGACGCTATAACTTTCACACAAAGCAATCAATATACACTTATTGGGATTTTTTTTTACCAAAAACATGTAGCAGAATACATTTTGGCCTAAATTTATAACTAACTTTGAGTTTACTATATATTTTTTATAGCTGAAAGTAAAAAATATTGTTTTTCTTCAAAATGTTTGGCATTTTTTTGTTTATAGCGTGAAAAATAAAAAGCACACAGGTGATCAAATCAAAGAAAGCTCTATTTGTGTGAAAAAAAATTACGTAAATTTCGTTTGGGTGCAGCGTTGTATGACCGCGCAATTATCAGTTGAATTAGTGCAGCGCCAAGTAGCAAAAAGAGGCCTGGTCATTAAGGGGGGTAAATCCTCTGGAGGTGAAGTGGTTAATGTACATACTGTGCATCCATCCAGGAACTCATGAGCCCAATGCTGGCCATACACGTATAGATTTTTGTTTGAAAATTTTAATTTTAAGAACATTCGTTTGATTTTCTAATTGTAAGTCCTCATGCACACTGGACGTTTTTACAGCGGCTGCTTTTGGCTTTTGAGGTTTTTTTCTACAGCTAGTAAACCCCCCAGCATGTTATCCTATCTGTCCATGCACACATAGACTGTAATCAACATTTTTTGGCTGGGGCGTTTTTTGGCTGGAAAACCCCCCCAAAACTAGTGGGTTTCTAGCTCTAATGCTGAAAAACACGGTAAATAGCGGCAAACCTGCGTTTTTGGACAAAAAAAGCTAAAAACTGCAAACGCAAAAAATGTGGCAAAATGCAGCTAAACGCTAGTGCAAAAACGCTGAAAAACTCAAGTTTTTACTTGACTTTACACAGCTAACGTTACCAGCGTTATTAAAACGCCCCGTGTGCATGGAGCTTTAGTGGAGTCAAATTGATGTTTGTTTTCGACTGCACTGATGGGAAAATTCAAAGGACCCAGAAGGAAAACGTTTCTTGATCAATCAAATTTTCAGACAGTGTATGTGATTTTCATTCAGAAATGACATTAATTTTTAAATTGAATATTAAAAACAAGTGGAAATTTTCAAAGGACATTTGTCCATTTATCAAAAGTACAAAGAATTT